TATATGACCTAATACCACTAATTGTTGTTGTTTTTTTTTTTCAATTCTTGGTGGTTTAAAATTCAAAACTAGCATCATTATATAATTATTGAATATTTATTTTTCAAAGGCATTCCCATATTATTGGTTTCTGAAAAAGTATCTATTGTGGGAAATTCATCTAGAAGTGTTGACTATCAAATTTTTTTTTTTTTTAATTTTTTCTTGCAAAAAAAGAAACAATATATTATTAAAGTTTAATAAAGTGAAGAATTGTTGACCTCCAAAAAATTATTAATTGAATAAGGTATAATTTTTTTTCTTGAAATTTACTTCATTCAACGAGTGACCATCAACATAATTATAATTGTGAGGCCACAAACATTTCATTTCTTTCTCAATTTATGATAATAAGCAAGAGTGGGCTCCATCAAGTTGTGGGCCCACATTGAGAAAACGACCACTTTTACTAGGCTTATTTTTTAAAGAAAAGAAAATAGAATGATACGGTTTGGGCCTCATGATTGAGGAAGTTGGTCTAGAAGTGTAATAGGAAAATGAAGTTGACTGCAGCCAGTTGATTCTAAGCCCAACTTGATTTTCAAAAGCGACCCATGAAAACCAAATGCGTGCACGGCAGTGTTATTTCTCAGGAAATTTCTTCAAAAACTCCCCGACAGGCCTGGTCAATGTGATGGGGTCTTCTGCGTGCAAGAAGACTTGCTTCTAGGGAAATTTTCTCCGTAATTGTCCGGTACGTGTCTGCTAGATTACTTCGCAGTCTACTCTTTCAGCCAGCCAAAAACAAGGGCCAAGCCATTGTCTGCCCTTTGTTGCGTTTAACTGTGACTGTTGAAAAAGTCTGCCTAAAACCAAAATATGGGCATTTTTCATGTCTAAGACTAGTCCCATGCTTGATTGAACTAGCACAAACATTTCATTTCTTTCTCAATTTATGATAAGAAGCAAGAGTGGGCTCCATCCAGTTGTGGGCCCACATTGCGAAAACGCCCACTTTTACCAGACTTAGTTTTAAAGAAAAGAAAATAGGATCATTTGGTTTGGGCCTCATGATTGATGAACATGGTCTTGACTTATATTGGGATAAACATGGTCTAGAAGTCTAATAGGAAAATGAAGTTGACTGCAGCCGGTTGATTCTAAGCCCAACCTATTTTTCAAATGCGTGCACAGCAGTGTTATATACCAGGAAATTTCTTCAAAAACTTCAGGGCTAGGCCTCTCTAGTCAATGTGTGCAAAAAAGACTGACTTCTCATAACTACACGTGGAACGGAAAGACCGTATATATCCGATAATAGATTATGACGTAACTTAAAATCCTCGACACTAATTAAGGGAATCTCAATCACTTATTTCAAATTCCCAACCATCAAGTGAGGCGTCCTTGGACCAAATTCAACCAACAAATCATAGTACTCTATGATGTTGGAAAAATTACTGAACAAAAAAAAAAAAAAAAAAAAAATCAAAAATCAAAATTACCCTTCTTCTTAAACACATAATTGCTAAATTGAGTTTCTTAGACTTGCAAGTGTATTCACTGCCCTTCACAATGCAATAAAGTTGAGCATTGAATGTTCCTGAGCGCAATTTTGTAAAGAAATAACTCACTTGTTTCTCCAGAAGAGGTGAGAAACATGCTCAAATATTATTTGATTGGATGGTTGACTCAATCCCTTAACCAAACCTTTCGTATGTGTTTGTTTGATCGGGAGAGGCTTATTTATCTTATGTTGCGTTTAGTATGTATGAATGAAATGCCCATTCTAACAATTTTTTTGTTTGATATGCAATTTAAAATGAGAATGACTATTCCATTGAAATGAAAATATATTCCTGAGAATGAAAATCCATTCTGCAAGTAAATTTTTTCAAAAAAAAAGGTTTCCAAAAAACCTCATGTTCCAAGTCAAAATACCACCACCACCACCTTCCACCACAACCACTGCTGCCACCTCCATTGTCTTCCATTGCCGTCATTGCCACCTTCAAACACTACACTGTCGTCGCCTAGACTACCTTCCACCGTTGTCACCACCACTACCATCACCTTTCACCACTATAACCTTCAACCACCATCACCTCTATTACCTTCCACCACTGTCACCACCACCACCGCCACTGCCACCGCTGTCACCATTACTGCATTCCACTACTGCCACCTTCCACCACCAACATACTGCCACCGCCTCCACTGCCTTCCACTACCACCGACACCTCCATCGCCACCACTTTCCGCTATCAACTTCCACCACCACTTTCACACCGCCACATCCATTGCCTTTTACTACCACCACCTCCACTACCTTCCACCACCACTACCTATACCAGTACCTCCTTCCACCACTGCCATCACCCTTACTGCCTTCCACCACCAATAGACCGTCGCCGCCTCCACTGCCTTCCACCACCACTATCGCCATAGACTTCCATAACCGCTTTTCACCACCACCACTTCCACATTGCCACCTCCACTACTTTCCACCACCACTAACATCACCTCCACTGCCTTCTATTGCTGCCACCACCTACACCACTGCCATCACCCTCACTATCGCCGCCTCCACTGCCTTCCACCATTACCGGCATCTCCACCACTACCGCCACCACCTTTTACCACTAACTTCCACCACTGCCTTCCACTACCACCATCGTCACCTCCACTACTTTCCACAACGGCCACCTTCCACCACCACCACACCACTGCCTTCCACCATCTTCACTTACACAACTACTTCCACCACCGCCACCACCATTGTTATTGTCATTGCCTTTCACCAACACCACCGCCGCCTTCCAACACCACTACCGCGCCATTTTTTTTTTTACAAAAATTATAAGATAATGTTACTTTGTTAATTTAATTTATTTGTAATTAAGAAGGGTATTTTGAAAATTTCAATTTAAAATTCATTCCATTCTAAATTTTAAATTAGTCCAACCAACACTAGAATGATTATTATCATTTCATTCCTATACAATTCACATTTACAACCAAACAATAGAATGAGAATGACCATTCCATTCTATTGCATTCCTAAAACATTATAGTTTAAGTGCTTTAGAATGAGAATTCCATTACATTCCTAAATCATTATAGTTTAGGTGCTTTAGCTGTTATTGGCTATAAGTATATTTAAGGGTGCAACATCTAAAGGAAAGTACCAACTACTAAGTACCAACAACTTTGATATCCTCCCCAGATCTCATTACACCACCAATGCAACAAACTTCGGCATTTTGACCTCCATTTCAACAAGGCAGATCCAATTCACAGTTAAAGACTGCACAACTTGGTGAGCTCTAAATCCATCACAAGCTTTGATCAGTCTCTCCAGGATAGACCACAACTCCACAGATGGTTTACTTGCGTATATAGCAGAGAGAAATGCCTTTTAGTACTATTCTTTCAGCCAAAAACAAAGGCCAAGCCATTGCTGGCCCTTTGATGCATTTAAAGTGTTGACTGTTGAAAAAGTATGGTGTGTACAACACCTCTCTATAGCAAATAAAGCCACATTTCTAAAACCAAAATATGGGCATTTTTCATGTCTACACTAGTCCCAAGCTTGATTGCACTATAAAAATTCATAAACCATGTATGGCATTTTTCACCCGCAACAAGGGCAAATATATTCCGCCAACATACTCTATTTGACGTCCAATCTCCAATCCCAAACCATACAAAACTCACGTAAATTTGCACATGGAACTGAATCTTGGATATAAGGATGCTTCAGAATAGAAGTAACAAAAAATTTCTTAATGGCAGTTCAAGCAAAGCATTACAGTAAAGAATGCAAAACTTTACTATGATTGAAAGTTCTCAAACAAACCACCGACTACAGAAAAGAACATGCAAGTTTCTCAAACAAATTATCAAAGACGAAACCTCAAGGACTTGCATTGAATACAGAGCCTCATTCTTCATCTTCTTCATCTCCATCTCCACCAGAAGCCTTCTTCGCAGCTGCCTTTTGGTTCCTTCGCTTCACTCTCCCAGGTCGTCCACCTCCAAGAGGACTTGTGAGGGAGAAGTCAATGTGCTTCTGTGAGTCCATTCTCACCATGAAGGATGGGATATTGACCACCTGCCTCCCAACCCTACATTGCCCCCCAAATAAAAAGAATAGTCAGAATAAAAATAATTTGTGAAAAGAAAACATGATGCTGAAAGAAATTAATATTGGAGGAAAAAAATGTTGCTGCAAAACGAGAATATGAAGCAAACCGAGGGATGGTATGGAAGAAAGGATATTTACCACTGCTAATTCTTAGAAAATCTTTGCAAACAAAAGAAACAGTCATTCCTGGGCAGTAACTCAAATGATTTGATATCCATGAACTGTCTAATCATTTCATATCGGGAGGAAAATGAACAAATTCTAAATGGTACACCCTTACAACATATTTTAACCTACAGGTATAAGCCATATACATCTATTATGTGATGTGGAAGATCCCATATTTAATCATGAAACTGAGAATTTGATAGTTCACAGCAAATACTTTAATCCTATCCAAACCTTCATAAATATTTGACCTGGATTAGGTATCTAACTAAAATGCACTCTCATGTTATTCTAATAATGGGTGCAAGGGAAGAAATGATGAATGTGAACCTATGGTCAACATTGTTGCACGCATGTGATACTACTATAATCATAAACAAATTTCACATTGTAGGACAAATATAGCTAGCAATGCATAACTGGGTAATGCAGTATCTAATCAACTTACACAGCATAGATTAGATGAATGCAATTGAAAGTGGTAACAAAATATGTTCCAAACAAGAAGCTAAAAGACCAATATCCAATTAGGAAATCAAAATATTCATTTTATTGTATTCAAGAACTACAAAACCTTAAAAGATGTATTTCAAAGTTATCATTTATGGCGGAGAAAGAACATGTACTTGTAGACACCAAAAATTTCATGGTGGGTCCAAAGTACAATTTGGGCCTACATTGATTTGACCCACCTTGAAATATGGGCCAATAAGTTAGACAACCTAGGCCCACCACAATATATGGGTCATGGGTTTACTTAAATTATCTATCTGACTCAAGGCCATTTCAAGGGTCAATTCAAATTATTTTAGTATCCCAAGCCCACTTGAAAGTAGGTTAGTTAAATAAATTAATAATTATTCCTAAAAAAGATAATATGGTGATAATTATTGTAAGGGATAATTATTATAAAGGTTAAAAATCACAAAAAAATGAAATATTAACATTGGATAATTATCAAGGACACTTGTCACCATCTTTTGCTTCTATGAGGTCTATAAATAGAGGTTGAAAAGAGGGGAGGGGAACAAGAATTTTCAAAAACTAAAGCTAGAATCTTCACTTCCTCAACACTCGAGCTCTGAAGAAGAACAAGAAGAAGCACATCAAGATTGTGCCGTTCTTTCTCCGTGATTCAAAGAATACCAAGCAATACTGTTTGAGATTAACTTCTCTAGCCCTCAATCAAAAAACATTGACGGTCTTCCTCAACTACAAGAATTTAGAGAAGACTATCGTTAATTTGATTCAAGATCAAGCTCTAGCACTTGGATCCAAGCCACAAAGGAGATCGAATCAGAGACAATTTCTTTATTTTGTAAAGATTTATTGAGATTGTACTCATTCGATCACAAAAGAAAGAAATTGTCCTCTAATTTGATCTCCTTTATGGGTTGGATCCAAGGGCCGTTGGAGCTTGGTCTTGATTCAAATTGTTGAGTCTTCTTTAAATGCTTGCAATTGAGGAAGACAATCAATGATTTTTGATCAAAGGTTGAAAAAGCTTGATCTCGAGCTATATTGTTTGGTGATTCTTCAACTTGTTGAATCTTGAGGAAAGAACAACACAACATGCTTCTTGTTCTTCGTCATCAAAAGCCTAAGTGTAGAAGGAGTGAAGATTTTGACAGAGCTTTAGTCTTCTCTTTGAGTATTCTCATTGCTCGAGTACTGAGAGAGTGAAGAGTTTGATAGAGCTTCAATATTGTCTAAATCTTCATGTTCTCCCTATTCTTTCATCCAATGGGAGAATAAGATGGTGGCACATATCCTTTCTTGATAATTATCTAATTTTTATTTATTTTCTAGAGTAAAGTAATGTGTTTATCTAATATAATGTTCAATATAGGTATTTAAGTCATTTTAAAGTAATAATATAATATTATTGAATGATTGGATATACTTCTTAAGCACATGTCCAACAAAAAATGTCGGACACATATCCCATACCCATATACGAGCAAAATATGTGTCCAACACGGGTACTTTACTACTATTGAAAAGTCCATGTAACATAGGTGATAATTATCATTTGTAAGAATTATCTTTAATTATAGTTTATTAAGAATAATTATAATTAATTTAACTAACTCACTTTCAAGTGGGCTTGGGCTAGTCAAATCATTTGAGTCATGAACCATATTTTGTGGTGGGTCTGGGCCTTAAATTATTTGATTCATTGCTCCATATTTCAAGGTAGACCAAATTGATGGTGGGCCTAAGCTTAAGGAATCACATTTACCAAGGTTGTTAAAACCGGGATTCTACGTTGGATCATTAAGAGCTCCGTAGAATCGGATCGAGAATCATAAGATCCTACTAAACTAGTAGAAAAACGTTCCAAACTAACTTCTATCTCTAAGCTATGTTACCTGGACTCGGGCGCGGGTGTCGGACACGGGTGCGTGTCCAAAGGTCGGATCCATCCATCTATCGAATTATAGGACACGGGGACACGGAATAAAAGTGTCCAAAAGTTGGACACGGACACTTGGACACTTGTAGGAAAAGAAAAAAATGTACCCTTTTTATGTTAGACCTCAGTTTTTTAATGAAAAATTGAATAAATATATAAATGTAAAGATAGCAGCGTGGAGCCTTCCAAGCTCTATTTTTTTGTGATGCAGGTTTTCTTTTTTTGCTTTGTTGTTGCACTTGTACCTGTTCTTAGAGTTGTGGATGCAACTGCAATGTGCTCCTGTGTGGGCCTGTTTTAGTTTTGTTTTTCTGGGCTGCCTTTGGGCTAGGCCTTTCCTTGTACAGTTTCTTTTTTTTAATGAAGGGATTTACTATAAAAAAAAAAAAAAAAGGTAATACAACTATTATAATAATATTACCTTATTTATAAAGTCAAACTATCAGGTCAAAAAATTTGCTCGAGATTGACCGATAGATATTACTTAAATAAAATAATACAGCTGTCCCAGTACAGTTGTAAATTGTTCATAGCTTAGATAGTGTTTTACAGTTGTAAAACATTATCCTTGTTAAAAGACCAAACTCTCCCATATTTTTACATCCAAATTGACAAGTGGCATGATCGTGACCGTTGAAGGGTATTAAAAGCATTAGTAAGAATGTGAAAACACGCTCGGCTGTTACAAAATTTTGTGCAAACCAAAGCGCGTACACTTCAGCCTTCTCTAACCTTCCAAAGACGCTACTTTTGAAGCAAACCGCCATTGTTGTACCAGTAAGTTTTCTGATCTCATTAATGGCAACCTATTTAACAAATAAAGCATGAAGAAAGTTCGCAATCCTTCACAACTACCAACCCAAACATCTTTGTTTGAGTTTTCGTCATCTATCAGCCGTGTCCGGTAGACGCCATGAAGGATCCGACTCAGATCCAGTGTCCGTGTCCGTGTCGTGTCGTGCCGACATGGACACTTCGGCCTGAACAGGCGAGTCCAGGTAACACAGTCTCTAAGATATAGAGAAGATAAGTCCAAAACACAAAACTTGTATAGAAGTACCCCTCCAAATATAATGTAGAAGAGAATGTAGTGCTACTAATATATCCAAATAATTCAACTAATGAAGCTTCAAACTTTCAACATCAATGCAATTAGATATGAATTATAACTTATATATATATATATATATATATATATATATATATATAAATTATTACTTATTAGATGCTAGTGCTACTAACTATATGAATAACTGAATTATGAACATAAAGTTATAAACATTATACACTGATCAAATTTACTGAATTATCAAATTTAGTAAATAGAACATAAACAGAACAGATTAACAAATGTGCAACTGAACAAGAAATACGCATGCATAAATCAATTAGGAATATCTGAACAAGAAACCAAGAAACCAAAAAAAGGCCTGATGTTGAAAACCAACTGAATTTGGAGTCTTCAATGTTCACTAAATTCATAATTTCATCTTTATCTTTATTGTTTTGGGCCCCAAGATCATAGGGATTTCTTATTAAAAAAAAACCAACCCATCAAAACAGTGTGTCAGCGCAAAAAAACAGAGCCAAACAAGGGACACAATACGATTCTACCCCGATTCTACCCAAACTCCCAAAGGAGCGATTTTCATGCGATTTAACTCAATTTGGGGGTCTAGGATTGTAGAATCGCGATTTTAACAAACTTGACAGTTACAGCATATAAACTACAATTCTGAATCAGACTACAAGACTCACTTAAACTTTAAATAGCAGAAAGAGGAAAACATAAATTTTGATGCTCCTTTTATAGGAAACAAAAGGCATTGTGTTTCAAGTAAAATATTAAGACTTTGTTACGAAATGAGAGGAACGTTTGATATGTAAGAACTTTCCATACATATTCTAAACTTTCTCGGTTAGTGGAGATCATCAAGGTAGTGTAACACTTTTGATAGTGTGCTTATCCAAATCCTGGAGTATAAAAACAGGGCCAGCTCAATCACTCAGCAACTTAGGCAATTCCCTAAAGGCTTCATACGGAAAATCCCAAATCAGATTCCATGTTGGTCCTGTGGTAGGTTTTCTTGATTATTTAAAGTAAAGTTAGGAAAAAAGTTAATTACGTTTTTTTCCATTGTTTCTGCACAAATATAGTTAGGAAAAAAGAAATTATCATGAATCAACATAGAAATGCGTGGAAAGTAAACAAATGTAATATATGCACCAGAACTAGAAAAAAATGAATTCATTTTCTCAATTGAGTTTGCATGGTTTATGCATTATGTACCTTATATGCCTCTGCCTAATGAGCACTCTGGCATGGTGGATCGACTTCGCCATACCCGACTTGAACACCAGTGTTTGGAGGCGGCGTTCTAGGAAGTTCTCCACGGTAAGGGCCAACACATAATCGAGCTTGTTCTGGCTCTCATCCAACAGTCCATATCTGTTCATCCTCCTCAGAAGGGCTTCGCCCTCGAAAATCCGGCGCGGGTTCTTCTCATCAAGAGTCAGAAGCATTCTAGCTGCATTACGAATGCGGCTCAGAACATATTGAACTCTCCAGAGCTCCCTTTTGCAGCGGAGCCCGTATTCTCCAACAAGCTTAAGCTCAGCATCCAATCGCTCCTTTTCATAGGGGCGACGAGGTTTCTTAAAAGTTTTCCCATCTAAAATCCATTCAATTGTTGGCATTTAATCAAAAGCTTAACAATCAAAAGTTCAAAACCACCCCATCTAAACAAACAATGACATCAACGAAACATACATAGAACAGCACAAAATATAGAAACAAACTAAACCCCTCTGAAGTAGCTACAAAAATGATCAAACAGAGAATAAAAACCAGAATCAGATTTTGAATCAGAGCTAAGTTAAATGAGGTTTAACTTACTAAATTCAAAATATTGAAATTCTGTCCTCCAAAAATTCAGTTTTTCTTTTCCGTTTAAAATTTATTTTCTCAGAAAACAAAACAGAGCATAATCAAAACATATATACAAAATATGAAACATTACAAATGGCTAGCTGAAAAACATAAAGGATGGATCGAATCAAATGTGAACATATATACACAATATGAATATACATACAGATACACAGACAAATATATATATTTATATACATATATATGTAAGAAGAAGACTTACAGTTGCGATAGAAGTTTACGTGCACCATGCTTGTACACCGATGGTGCTGTTCTCAGGCCCCGTTCGATTCAAGGCGATTCAACACAGTTGCGCACGAAGCCAGAAAGTGTTTTGACATTTATACTACATTTTTTTTTCATGCCAAAACCCTAATGGGCCTTTATGAACACTACTGGATCACAGCAAGTGGAAATACGGGCCTGTCCTGAGTTGACCTGTAGTTTCTTTGTTACAGAGGTAGGCCTAAACTTTGGGCCTGTCCTAAGTTAATTCAGAATCGGGTCCCTGGCCCCTAGCTAACCTGATGCAATTTTTTAAATTTTATTTTTATTTTTCCTAGCCTGATGCTGTTTACACCCTTATTTTGCGCCCAATGAACAAAACAACACTTGGAAGGAGTTTTGGGTCAAGCCAATTTCTGACACATGGAAGGATTTTTGATAAAGCAAAATTTAGGGAATTTCAACTAGAGGTGGCTGTTGGTTTTATGTAAAACAATTTGTCCAACTAAATGAAGACACATAGGGCACGGTTATAGAAGATCTATTCTGTACAAAACAAAATCAACAACTGATTTAGACAAACCCATGAAGATCTTTGAGAATTGAATTGATATAGGAGCCCGTGTGTAAGGAATGTAACTTGGTCAAAGGAATGTGTCAGCTATATGAATTTTAGCGTACAAATTGGAATGCCTAAAATCATGCAATATGGTTTCTTCAAAAGTCACAATACAACAGCAAGCTCTAACAGAAACGTGCGCTGTAAGATTATTTATTAATTGTGTGGCTCATATAATTTGAACATGTGATATATTTTATTAATTAGTGATTAAATAAATAAATATTAAATAAATATTATATTATTTAGCTAATTTATAAATTATTTTTTTAGTAATTAATTATTGAAGAAGTGTTTTTCTATTTATTCCTTATTTTAATAAAAAATAGAATTAAGGTCACTAAAAAGGAAATCGGTCATCTCCTTCTCATTATAAAGTACATATCCTCCATCAATTATGTACGCTAATGAAACAATACTGTACACACAAATTTTGTAAGTCTATAAATAGAAACAAAATATGGAACAAATAGTAATTTATTAATTTGGAAAATTTGAGTACAATCCTTTGTAATAATATTCTTTACCAAAAGAATGGTCTTCTGATTCGATCTCCCTTTTGTTGTTGGTTGGATTCAAGGGCCGCACGAGCTTGTTTTTGAATCACTGTGGGATTTGATGAAGAACGACACGATTTGATGTGCTTATTGTTGATCACCGTGGAATTTGATGAAGACCGGCACGATTTGATGTACTTGGTGTTCTTCGCCTTTGGGTTTGGATGTTGGGGATAAGAGCTTCTGGATTTCTGTCTCTGGATTTCTGGACTCTGAGTTACTGTATCCCTGACTTCTGAGTTTCTGGATTTCTGAACTTCTGAATTCTGAATTTGTGTCCTTTGTTTCTGAACGTCTGAATTCTGAATTTGTGTCCTTTGTTGAATTTGAGGAAGAACGACACGTCTTTGGATGTATTTGTTGTTCTTCGTCTTCAGGAGAGAATTTGTTGAATTGGTAAAGAACGGCACGACTTTGGATGTGCTTGATGTTCTTTGCCTTCAGGTTTGCCCTCGGGATTTTTGGCCCTTTGGATTTATGATTTTCTCAATTTCTGGACCTTCTGGATTCTGAATTTGTCCCCCTTCTTCCTTCCTTCAGGCCTCTATTTATAGGCTTCTTGGATTAATAGGATGATGACACGTGTCCTCTCCTGATAAGGAAAAAATCATAACTGGGCCGGGCCGGTTATATTATGATAATTATCCTTAAAAATAATTATTCAAAATATATTTTATTAGGAATAATTATCTTTATATTTAACCATCTAGGTTGGGCTAGGCTAATTAAATAATTTAAGTGAACCAAATTTGGGCCAATTAAATAACTTAATTAAATATTAGGCTCATATTTAATGGGTCCATTTGTCAAAACCAAAGTCTACTAAATTTTAGTGTCTACAAATTGCCCCCACTTCGAGTCCCATGCTTGACAGGACTTGTTTCCTTTTTCAAGTGAGACTTGAAGTATCCAACTTTCCTTTATTTATTTATTTATTTATTTATTTTTATCCAATTTTAGATTGTAAGATTTCCTTTTTTACTAAATTATACAAATCCCAATACAAATAGGAGATATTTGGTTGCCTATATATACCACCAATATTATAGAGTTTGACATCAATTCCAATAGTCTCTGAAGACTTGTCAGATTACAACCTTCGAAGACGGTGCTGGATTGCGGCCTTTGCTTAAAAACAAATAATTGGCATGACTTTTTCTTCACTCTTCTTCTTCTTCTTTTTTTTTTTTTTTTTTTTTCGAGGAGTGTTTCTTCGTCCCTTTCTTTTCATCTTCTTCATGTAATCTCTGTCCACATGCAGCCTTTGTCTTGCATGAAATTCTTCTTCTTTTTTCACTTTAGTCACATGGAGCTTCCAGATTCATATACACCATACATATTGCACAATCCCTACACATGCCAAACAAGAAAACAAAGGATTACAACGGAGTTTTTTTTTTTTTTTTTTTCCTTTTTTTTGTCTTTCCCTTTTTTTTTTTTTGTCTTTTTTTTTTTTTTTTTTTTTTCTTCTTATTTTTTTTTCTTTCCTTTTTTTTTTTTTCACCCAATTTTTTTTTGTTCCACGCATTTTTTTTGTTCTTCCTTTTTTGTTTTTTTTCTTCTCCATGCTTGCTGGAGAAATATTTTTATTTTTATTTTTTATTTTTCCTTCTCGCACTTGCTGGAGGAAACAAATAATTTTTTTTTTTTTTTTTTTTTTTTTTTTTTCACTCTTGCTGGAGAAATAATTTTTTTTTAGTCCCTTTGGAACGCACCTAGTCCGCAAGGACCCTTTGTTCCTTTGGAATGCACCTAATCCGTAAGGACCATTTGTTCATTCGGAACGCACCTAGTCTGTAAGGACCCTTTGTTCCTTTGGAATGCACCTAATCCGTAAGGACCATTTGTTCATTTGGAACGCACCTAGTCTGTAAGGACCCTTTGTTCCTTTGGAACGCATTTAGTCCATAAGGACCCTTTGTTCCTTTGGAATACATCTAATCCGTGAGGACCTATTGTTCATTTGGAACAAAAATCTTCCATGTATGCCAATCTGCATTTCTTCTTCTTCTTCTTCTTTTATTTTTTATTTTTTTTTATTATTTTTTTTTGTGCAAGGGGTGCTAGGCAATCATGGTGTTTTTCAAGAGTTTCAAGCCTCATACTATCACCATTTTGGAGCGAGAACAGACTCTGAGAGGTCATGCCACCAGCATAGACAGTGTCGTCAGCAACCACGAATCGACTCGAAGAACAACGAGATATGTAGACGTAGGGAGGCTTTACCAATAGCTCAGACAATGTTATCAACACCCGTTGCCGTCTTCATCAGCCTTGGATCATCCATCATCCATTGATAGAGCAAAAATAGACTCCGAGAGGTCATGCCACCAGCACAGACAGTGTTGTCAGCAACCATGAATCAATCCAGAGAGCAACGACAGATGCAGACTTCATTAGCCACAGATCAAACATCAACCATTCAGAGAGTAAGAAGAAAACTCCAAGAGGTCATACCACCAGCATTACTAGCCATCGTCAGAGCGTCTTCATCAGCCATGGATCATCCATAAAGCGAGACAAGACTCCGAAAAGTTATATGACCAAGCACAGATAGTGTCGTCAGCAGCCACGAATCAATTCGGAGAGCCAAATTTCTATTTCAGCAACACCTCGGCGGCAAGCAGATTTTTTATTATTATTATTATTTTTTAGCGACACCTTGGCGACAAGCATAATTTTTTTAGCAATGCCTCAACGGAAAGACAAAATTTTCTTTCAGCAAAACCTTGGAGGTAAGCATAATGTTTTTTTTTTTTTTTTTTTCAACCACACTTCAGTGGTGAGTCAAAATTTTGTTGCAACAACACCTTGGTGATGAACCGTATTCTTCAGCTATGCCTTGGCGGCAAGTCAATTTTATTTATTTCTTCCAACCACACCTCGACGATGAACTAACCTCTGCAACGACACTTTAGTGGCGAGTAAATTTTTTTTTTTTTTTTTTTTTTTCAGTAATATCGTGACAAATCTGATTATTCAGCAACGTCTTGGCGGCAAGTCATTTTTTTTAGCGACACCTTGACATCGAACCGAAAATATTTTCCTTTGCAACGACATTCTGGTGATGAAGCAAAATTATTCTTTGTAACTAGATTTTGCCGATGGATCAAATTTTCCTTTGCAACTACGATTCTGGTGAAGAACCAAAATTGTTGTTTGCAGCTACACTTTGGTGATGGGTTTAATTTCTTTCTTACATCTATAATTTGGCGATAGGCCAAAATTCATTTACAGCTACAATTTGGTGGCGTGCCAAGTTCACAGGGTGCGACGAGCACTGTTAATATCGCATGATGAATGACAACATCTTGACAGCAAGCCAAGTTGACAAATTGCGACGAGCCCTTTTGATATCTTGTGACGAGCATAAGTAACATCTTGATAGCAAGCCAAGTTGATTAAAGCGGCGAACACCTTTGATATCATGTGATGAGCACCCTTTGCCTTTTTTTTTTAGGTTGACTGAACTTGGAACAAACTTCCAAGATGCCTACATACCCTGAACAGGGATCAAGTCATCATGTAGTTCCCAATTTTTTTTTTTGGTAGATAGTTTATACTCATGTCAAAGAGTTTTTTTTTCAAGTAGACAGTTTAAACTCGTATCAAGGAATATGATTGAAATTTTGTTTTTAGGCAAACAATATATACTCGTGTCAAGGAGTTCTTGATATTTTTTCCAGATAGATAGTTTAAACTCGTGTCAAGGAATGTAATTTTTTTTTTTTTTTTTGAGAGACAGTTTAAACTCGTATCAAGGAGTGTCATTTTTTTTTTTTTTTAGGAGACAGTTTAAACTCGTATTAAGAATTTCTTGATTTTGTTTTTTTTTTTTTGTTTTTTTGTTTTTTTTTTTTTTTTTCAGACAAATAGTTTATACTCATATCAAGGAGTGTCAATTTTTTTCGGGTAGACAATTTAAGCTCGTGTCAAGGAGTGTCATTTTTTTGTTTGGGA